AAAATGCAAAGAACTAACTTTGCTCCTTGCACAGCCTTGCCAATGGATGTTATCTGACTACAACTCCCATCGCTGCGGACCTCTAGCCATGTTGGCTGGGGCTAATGAGAGGAATCTGTCAATTTCAGTTTCTTGTTTTTCTAATATTAATATTCTAATATTAAATTCAGCTTTCCACATTTCCACAAGTAAAAAATAAGAAATCCTCATGAAAATTCATCAGCATTTAATTTCATCAAAATGCAGACAAAAATTATTCTCTCCCTTATAGTTAATTGGAGTGGAGATTTCCCCTATTACTTGGCATTCCAAGGGAAATGGGTGGTTTCATCTAGGTTTAGCTCAACTAGATTCAAAAACCATCCACATAAGTTAAGCACAAACTCCACAGTAGAAAGGCTGTCCCCACCTGCCCCAGCCAACCTCCGCCACAAATCTATAGGCAAATCAACAAAATGAGCCCATCCAGATGGAGCTGTAAATGTATCATAACTTTCAGTTTTAGTATCAGATAATATTGCTGCTGAAACATCGCACTGTTGTTCCTGTATACACATTGCTATAAGAAGCGGGGGTATATTATTATTACTGTTTTTTCATTGTTCTGGTGTATTTTGCTATTTTGCTGGGAAAGCTATGGTTTTCCCAGTAGTGACGTATGGAAGTGAGAGCTGGACCATAAAGAAGACTGACCACCTGTTAGGTAGATTTATTGCTTTATTGTTCGGCGCCCAGCCACGCTTCCCCTGCTAGCCTTTGTAGCTTCTGTTTACGCAGGGTGGCTTTGTAGCGGTCGTAAAGCAATTAGCAGAAATTACGCAGCGGTGTGTGTCAAAAGAGCAGTAGACAAGACCCACACGTTTCTTCTGTCCTAATATCCCTTTATTTGCTCAAAAGTCGCATATTTACAATCAAGAACTGCCAGCAGAATTAAGCTGCATTTTCTCTGCGTCCTGCTCTCAGTTTGCAGCTGCGCAACAAAACTGCTTTCACTTTGCACTCAGCTCACAGCATTCCAAGCTGCTTTCGTCACGTCCTGGCTTACTTCCCTTGTAAGCGCCTCCTCTCAGCTTCAAGACACAGAAGGTTAACCCTTCACTACACCCAACACCCCCTCTTGTCTCGCGCCTGAGGGGAGAATTGACCCTTGGTCGTCCCAAACCCAGACCTTCACAAAACTCCCCATGTCTTTGGAAGGTGAGTGGCTTCGTGAACCCATCAGCTAGGTTCTTGGCAGAGGGACAATACTTCAGCGCAACTAATCCCTCCTGAACACTCTGGCACACATTCCGAAAGCGAATGTCTAGGTGTTTAGTTCTGGCCTTGAACTGCCCTGACTCTGCTAAACGCAGGCATGGTTGATTGTCCTCAAAAACACGTATCGGCTGACAATCCACCTCGCAGAGTTCCTGCACCAAGCAAGCATAGAACTCTACTTCTCTGCACACCTCTGAAAGAGCACTAAACTCAGCCTCAGTGGATGAGAGTGCTATAAGACTTTGCTTCCTGGACCTCCATCCAACTACTGAGTTCCCAAACTTCACCACTAGGCCAGACACAGACTTGCGATCCTCAAGATTAGCCCAATCCGAGTCCACAAAGCAAGTCAGTTTGACTTCTCCTTGTGCTGGCAACCTAAGACAAAAGTCTTTGGTCTCCTGCAAATACCTCAGAACTCTCTTGATGCCATTCCAGGCTTGCACACTAGGGTTTGAAGCTTCCCTGCTGAGCAGATTGACAGCAAACGCTATATCAGGTCTGCTCCACTGGGACAAGTACAACAAACTCCCTAGGGCTGACTGAAACACTTCAGTATTTTTCGAACGCAGCGCGTTCTACTTGCTGGCTGTCCTTCACAAAACTAGTCTCCATAGGACTTCTCACTCCTGCACAATCACTCATCCTCATTTTCTGAAGCAATTGCTCAATCTTACCTCTCTGGCTGAGCAAAAAGCTTCCATCTTGTGCACGCTCAACACTGACACCTAGATAGGTTTTGACAGCACCAAGCTGTTTAAGCTTGAATCGTTTACCTAGCTCTTTGGCAAACTTCTCCATCTGTTCATCTGTTTCTGAGAAGAATAGCACGTCATCAACCCAAATCTGCAAATACTCTTGTGTTGCTCCTGATCCTCTCAAATAAAAGCAACTATCAGCAACACTTCTCCTGAAACCTAGCTCTTCTAAGGCTTCATTCAGGCACATGTTCCAGTTTCTAGCAGATTGACGTAATCCATAGATGGATTTGTGCAATCTCCACACAACATCCTGCCTTAAGTTCTCAAATCCCGGAGGAGGAATCATGTACAGCTCCTCCTGGAGATCTGAGTTAAGGTAGGCAACATCCACATCAAAGTGGTTTACTTTCCAGCCTCTCTGTGCTGCACAAGCTAAAAGCGTTCTCAGAGTCTCCGCTCGTGACGTTGGCGAATACACCTCCGTGAAGTGTATTCCCTTCCTCTGAGTAAATCCTCGAGCAACTAACCTGGCTTTATACTGCGGCTCTCCAGCGTCAGTGGGTTTCAAGCGGTAAACCCACCTGCAACTCACAGCCTGCTTGCCCGGTGGCAACTCTGTGAGTGAGAACACACCTAGATCTTTCATGGACTTCATCTCTTTGTCCATTGCCCTGTGCCACTTGCCTGCTTCTTCCTCAGATAAACTCTGAATATCCTCGAAGGATTCAGGTTCACATCTTGCAGAACCTACCCAGACGCTAGAAGCGTCGTACCGATCAGGAGGCCTCCTTGTCCTCGCTGATCTCCTCAGTGTGAATCCTGGTGACCCTGCTGCTTCACTGGGTCCAGCTAAATCATCCTCAACTTCAGTGTCTTCCCCTTCTGACCTGCTGCGCCGCTTGGGCCTTACAGCTGGTCCAGCAGGTGAAGAAGGCTCACTCTTTGGCTCAAACTTGACACTTGCCTGAGGAGGTGTTCTAGGTTCCCCCCTCTGAGGGATCCTGAGCTGTCCCTGTCTTGGACTCTGTCCCTGTGGACCGTGGTCCCCAGCACCAAGTTCCTCTTCCTCCTCAACGACTGAGTCATAGAACTGCTGTGGAATCACGTCTGGATTAGCGTGCAGACGCTTCCAACCGGCTTGCTCACAGAACTCAGCGCTATTGCTGATAACCAACCTAGACTGGTCTCCACTTGGGTACGCAAAGCGCCAGGCCTTTGAGCCAGGCTCATACCCTACAAAGATCATTCTTTTAGATCTTGGCTCACCTTTCTTGCGTAGAGCCTTTGGAATAAGCACCCAAGCCTCACAACCAAACACACGAAGGTAGTGTACCTTAGGCTTCTTTCCATGCAGTAAGAAATACGGTGTATTTCCTACACTAGAGTTGTACACTCTATTCTGCGTATGGACCACAAATCTCCAAGCTTCAGACCAATATTTCTGGGGTAGCCCTGCGTCCCACAGGATCGCAGACACAGCTTCCTGCACTGTCCTGTTCCTTCTCTCTGCCAGCCCATTCTGTTGCGGAGAGTAAGGAGCGGTCAGTCTGTGGCTAATCCCCTTCTCCCTAAAGAAATCCTGTAAAGCAGAACCAGTGAATTCAGAACCTCTGTCACTTTGAAAACCACGAACTTTGGTGGAAAAGGTTACCTCAACTGCGGTGATCCAATCCCTGATCATTTTTTTTTTTAAAGAATATTTATTCCAATTTTAAAATTACATAGAAAGAAAAAAGCAAAAAAAGAAAAACAAATCACATACACCCTACAGAAAAAGAACAACACACGATACAGAAAAAAATACAAAAGACAAAAAATCACAATACAAAAATAACAAAAATCAAATTAAACCATTAAGATCATTTTCCCATTTACTTATTTCCGAGACTTCCTCTCACTTCTCTGCTTTGTATTCTAATTTAAGTCGTATCTCCAGCAAACCCTTCTAACCTTCTTTTCATTTACTTAATTTAACATTCAAAAATATTTAATTCTCCTCTATTTTTTATTTTACACTACATATTTACTTATTCCATTATACTCTGTCTGCCAATACGGTCTAATATTCTTCTCCAACCTTTTCTAACATTCTTTTATATTACAGTATTTCTGAAGATATGTTTTAAATTTTTTCCAATCTTCTTCCATCGACCCTTCTTCTTGGTCTCGTATTCTGCCGGTCATCTCAGCCAGTTCCATATAGTCTATCACTTTTCTCTGCCATTCTTCTCGGGTAGGCAATTCTTGTGTCTTCCAGTATTTCCCAATGAGTATTCTTGCTGCTGCTGTCGCATACATAAAGAAATTCCTGTCTTCCCTTCGCACCAGTTGACCGACCATGCCCAAGAGGAAGGCCTCTGGTTTCTTCAAGAAAGTATATTTCAATACCTTTTTACGTTCATAATATCTCACTGCCCAGAAGGCCTTGATCTTTGGGCACGTCCACCAAAGGTGGAAGAAAGTACCTTCATTTTCTTTACATTTCCAACATTTATTATCAGGCAGATGATAAATTTTTGCTAGCTTGACTGGGGTTAAGTACCACCTGTATATCATTTTCATTATGTTTTCTCTTAAGGCGTTACAGGCCGTAAATTTCATACCTGTGGTCCATAACCGTTCCCAGTCAGCAAACATAATATTATGCCCCACATCTTGCGCCCATTTAATCATAGCAGATTTAACCATTTCATCCTGTGTATTCCATTTCAACAGCAGATTATACATTCTTGACAAATTTTTGGTTTTAGGTTCTAACAATTCCGTTTCCAGTTTAGATTTTTCCTCCTGGAAACCTATCTTTTTATCTAAGTTAAAAACCTCCCTTATTTGATAATAATGCAGCCAATCTCGAACTTTAGTTTTTAGTTTGTCAAAGCTCTGCAATTTTAATTTATCACCGACTTGTTCTAAAATTTCGCAATATTTTGGCCAATTTGTCTCCATGTTTGTTTTTTTCAAAGCCTTAGCCTCCATTGGTGACAGCCACCTTGGTGTTTTACTTTCCAACAAATCCTTATATCTCACCCAAACATTGAATAATGCTTTCCTGACAATATGATTCTTGAAGGCCTTATGCGCTTTGACTTTGTCATACCATAAATATGCATGCCACCCAAACACATTATCGAAACCTTCTAAATCTAAAATGTCCACATTTTCAAGAAGTAGCCAATCTTTCAGCCAACAAAAAGCGGCTGATTCATAGTAAAGTTTAAGATCTGGCAGGGCAAATCCCCCTCTTTCCTTTGCATCTGTTAGTATCTTAAATTTTATTCTGGGCTTTTTGCCCTGCCAGATAAATTTAGAAATATCTCTTTGCCACCTCTTGAAACAGTCCATTTTATCCACAATTTGTAGTGTTTGAAACAAAAACAACATTCTAGGCAATACATTCATCTTTATCGCAGCAATTCGGCCCAACAATGATAACTTCAATTTTGACCATATTTCTAAATCCTTCTTCACCTCTGACCAACATTTTTCATAATTATCTTTAAACAGATTCACATTTTTGGCAGTCATATTCACCCCTAGATATTTCACTTTGTTAACAATTGTTAATCCTGTCTCTTTCTGAAACCTCTCCTTCTCTATCTCTGTAAGATTTTTCTCTAATACCTTGGTTTTCATCTTGTTTAATTTAAAACCTGCTACTTGACCAAATTCTAGTATTAATTGTAACACTCATTTTGTACTAGCTTCTGGATCCTGTACTGTCAAGACTAAATCATCAGCAAAAGCTTTCAATTTGTACTGTTTAGCTCCGAGTTGTATACCTTTAACCAATTGGTCTTTTCTAATCATATTGAGCAAAACCTCGAGGACCGATATAAAAAGCAATGGGGAGATTGGGCAACCCTGTCTTGTTCCTTTCTCTATCTTAAATTCTTCTGTAACTACATTATTCACAATAAGCTTAGCTTTTTGTTCCGAATAAATTGCACCTATACCATTTTCGAAACTTTGGCCTACCCCCATCCCCTGCAGATTTTTCTTCATAAAGCTCCAAGAAATATTATCAAACGCTTTCTCTGCATCTACAAATATTAGAACAGCTTTAGTATTAATATTGACTTGCAATTTTTCCAAAATGTTAATGATGTTCCTAGTATTGTCTGACAAATGTCTCCCAGGTAGGAAGCCCGCCTGGTCTTTATGAATCTCTTTTACCAATACGTTTTTTTAGTCTCTTAGCCATAATTTCAGCAAAAATTTTGTAATCCACATTTAATAGGGATATGGGACGGTAGTTCTTCAACTGTGTCTTCTCCCCTTCGGTTTTTGGTATAAGTGTAATGTATGCTTCTTTCCACGACTCGGGTGCTTTTCCTCCCCGTAGTATTTCATTACAAAGTTCTTTCAACGGTTGCAATAACCATTCTTTCAAAATTTTGTAGTACTTTGCAGTTAATCCATCCGGCCCTGGAGATTTGCCCAATTTCATATTCTGAATGGCTCCTTCCACTTCTTGGTCAGATATTGTAGAGTTTAATATTGATTTACTGTCTTGAGATATTTTTTGTAATCCATTATTTTCCAAAAATCGGTCAATGTCTAGATCTTTCTGAGTCTCCTGCGTATATAACTGTTTGAAATAATTCTGAAAGCACTTCCGAATCTCTCCAGGATTCTGTATATTCTTTCCTTCTACAACCAAGTTCGTGATTGTATTCAGCTTTTGTCTTTTTTCATTTGCCAGGCCAGTAACTTCCCACATTTATTTGCCGATTCGAAAGTCTTTTGTTTCATCTGTTTAATCTTCCATTCTATCTCCTGATTCATCAATTTCATATATTGTACTTGGTATAGCTTTATCTCTTTTAAAATCTCCTGTGAGTTCGGTTTCGCTCTCAGTCTTTTTCTCCATCCTTTATTTTCTCCAGAATTTTTTCTCTCTTCTCATTTTGATATCTTTTCCTAATTGCGTTTTGTTGTATCAAGAATCCTCTCATCACCGCTTTACTGGCATCCCAAATCACTCTTTTTTCTGTCGTAGTATTCAAATTTATTTCAAAATAGTCTCTCAAATTTTTCTGAGCCTTTTAATAATTTCCTCATTCCTGAATAAGGAGTCATTCATCCTCCATCTAAAGGCCCCAATTGGCGTTGATATCATTTCAATCTTTACTGGATTGTGATCAGAGCAGATTTTCGGGCAGATCACTGCTTTTTTAATTTTAGGAGCCAGTCCTCTAGTTATCCAGATTTGGTCTATTCTTGTCCATGTCATATTTGCTTCAGAGAAGAAGGTTCCTTCTCTTTCCAAGGGGTTCTTTGTTCGCCAAATATCCACAAGATCCATATTGTCAGTCATTTCAAAAATGTCTTTGGTAATCTTCCATCTTTTGTCACTGTTTGTCTTTGGGCTTTGTCCATATTTGTAGACACTACTCCATTCATGTCTCCCATCAAAATAATATTGTAATCCAGATAGTCCAGGAGAGTTTCATGCAATTTCTTGAAGAATTCTGATTTTCCCTCATTTGGTGCGTATACACCTATTATCAAAAATTTCTGTCCTTGGAATTGAATTTCAATTGCTATATATCTTCCTTGATCATCTTTAAATATAAATTTTGGTGACAGGCTTTCCTTCGCATAAAGTACTACCCCTCTTTTTTTAACATTGTCCGATGAGATAAATTCCTCTCCCAATCTTTTATTTATCAAAATTTTCCGATGTAGCCTTGTCACATGAGTCTCTTGTAAACAGATCAAGTCCAAATGTTCTTTTTTCAATGTATGAAATACTCTTCCCCTTTTGGCCGACGAATTTAGGCCATTAATATTCGCCAAATAACAATTCATGCACAAGGTTGCTTGATGCTCTTGCCTCTCTTTCGCTGGAGTTAGGTGTTCCCCTGGCAGCAGAAAAAACCGAGGGTCCGGTCATGACTATGACTTACTTGGGCATCGAGCTCAACACGGTCGCCCAGACGTCGCGTTTGCCTGAGGCCAAACTGACAGCTCTTAAAACGGCAATCTCCCAGCTCCTCCTGCTCAAAAAAGTAACACTCAGGCAAATTCAGTCCTTGCTAGGCCACTTAAACTTTGCCTGTCGGGTGGTAGCCCCGGGCGCCCATTCTGCTCACGGCTGGCTAGGTTATCTGCAGGGCAGGGCTGCGGTCACCACATCACAGGGTACGCCTCACAAAGTCCTGGTTGGACAAACAGCCAGTCAGTAGTCAATGTCCTGACCAAACAATCTTCACGTTCAGAAAGGGTGTCCACGATGCTGCGATCGTTTGTGTTACGGTGCCTGCAATTTAACATCATATTTTCAGCAAAATTCATTCCTGGTATTAATAACAATATTGCGGATGCGCTATCTCGATTTCAGATGGAGCGCTTCCGGTCGTTAGCCCCAGAAGCACAGCAATTGCCAGAGCCATTCCCGGAGCACCTGTGGAGCCTTGGAAGCGAGATGTGATGCAGGGAGTATTGGTTTTGGTTGCCCCTTCTACGCTTAGGTCCTACTCAAAAGCCTGGTCTGATTTTCTAGCATTTTGGAGAAAAATCTTTGGGTATTGCGCATCAAGAGCCGCCCACCACAGACCAGGCGCTGCAATTCTTAGTTCATCTGCGCAACCTTGGTCGTGCAGCAAAGACCTTAACTATACAATCGGCTGCAATTTCCTTCTTTGCAAAATCTATTTACTGCACTGCCCCTGAGTTCGTGGTGCGCAGGGCTCTCGAGGGGTGGCGCAGATTACAACCACCAAGTAAGGAGGGGCATAGGCCCATTCCATTCACTCTCCTCAGTAAAATACGCAATAAATTAAAATCAGTGTGCTGGTCCAAATACGAGGCCCGTTTATTCTCGGCTGAATATTCCATAGCATTTTTCGGCGCTCTAAGAGTTGGTGAAGTGGTACATGAAGGTGAGCCGGGTCCTTTATCCCAAGGCCTGCAGCTTGATGATATTCAGTTTTCAGATTCAATGTTGGTGGTTCGCATCCTTTACTCAAAAACAGACCAAAAAGGAAAGGGTGCCTTGGTTCGGTTGATGGCAACCATGAAAGCGGTCCCTGCCATGTAAAGGACACAAAAAGGTTTTTGGGTCTCAGGCCCCCAGGTTCCGGCCCTTTCCTGGTACACGAGGATGGGTCCCGTCTTGCCAGGCAGCAATTCACTCGGGTGTTGCGCAAAGCATTTGAAGCTTGTGGGCTTCCGGCTAAGGAATATGCTGCCCATTCTTTTAGGATTGGGGCCGCCACAACGGCGGCTCACTTGGGATTGCCAACAGACAGAATAAAAGACATGGGTCGCTGGCGATCCAACGCGTACAAAAAACTATATCCGCGACAGCTCCAAAATTTAAAACAGACCAATCACTTACACGCCTCTGTCATTTTTCTTGCTTTTCAGGGTCAAGCCTCATAGAAATCTGGATTGCGGGACACAGTATCGTCCATTGGGCCCAGGAACGGGCGGTCGCTAATGGCCAGGGATGCCAACTGGGTTTTCCACCGCACATTCGCATTTCTTGGATAACGAGGCATGGGATGCGCTGGGCAGAGATGATGCCAATTGTGATGGCCAGGGTGGAGGCACATGCCCCCCAACACTTTGGTTCCGCAGCTGGGAGAGAACGACTTGCCTTGCCGGAAGGGCGTGGACTTGCTATTCACTATCAAAAAGGACTTGGACACTCTTGCGCTGAATTTCCCGAGAATGACTCTCGTTTGGTCGCTGCTGTTGGAGAGACGGGTTTGGTGTGGCAGCAGTTCCCCAGCCATTACAGATCGTGCTCGGAAGCGTTTGAATCGTTCCATTTCACAGAAAGTGGTTGCATTGAATGGCCGGGTGATCCCGCACCCTTCCATTGTTTTCAGCAAAATGGCCTTATTTCGTGACGATGGCGTGCACCTTTCCGATGGGGGAATGATATCTTGAACTTCTGCCTGTCCAGTGCGCTTCCCCTGTGCACAAAACACTGCTCAGTGCAATCTTCTGGGGGAAACTTCACCTAAGGCAGGAAATGGCAGAGCTGCAGCGACGTTGCTTCCGTGAAGAAAAACAGGGAGTAAAACAGTCCAGAGACACGGTTCTCCTAAACTAAGAAGCGTTTATTTACATGCCAAGCAGTAAATCAGTCCACCAGAAAATTCAGATATCTTCTCTGGCTCAAAGCACAACTCCGACTGAAATCAAAACCAACTTTCACAGAACAAAGAACTGTGACGTAACATCCTGGCTGACTTCCCGTAGAAGCCCTTCCCTCAGACTCGAAGCACAGAAGGTTAACCCTTTAACCACCACACTCTACACCCCCTCTTGCTTCGCGTCT